TATTCAAGTAATGTACATGACTATTTCCTTATTTATGATTATTGATTAGGATGAGGTCTAAGGATGATATGTATGACTAAGGTAGCTTCAAAGGAGTACTTAGTATGGTTGGTATTATGGGATGCCAACCATACATTGCACAAGTATTCCTTAGAGTTGCTAAGGTGGTGGTTTTATTATGTTATGAAAGTTTAATGTGATTATGACTTGTGTTCTCCATTGAAAGTGCATGTTGGTTTCCAAAACTTGATAAATGCATATATTTAACTAAAATGTCTTTTTTATCATATTTCAAGTATTTTATGCATGCTTCCATACTTAGTACTTTATGTGCTAACCCATTTCTTCTACATTTTTATAACTGTAGGTTCCGGCTAGGTGACATATACTTTCCTTTCTTGAAGAAGGCTTGGATTGCTTATCTCCAAGACTTGTGGTGAGTCCTCAAGTTCGAGGACGGATTATCCATTTCTTAGTTTCTATTGTACTTCTTCTATTGAGATTTTATTGATGTAAAGGGTAAAGTCCCAAACTTTGTACTCCTATGTTTTAGATGGTGAATGAGACAAGGTCTAGACTCTTTTGATTTTCTTCTATGAAAAAGAAGTTTGACTTCGATTGTAAAAAGTTTTAAATTTTCCGCATTATTCTTATGGCTTTATGTGTATGATTATGCTAAGGGCTTGTATGTGACCCCTTCTGGGGTCAAGTACGCCGTGTTATGTCTAGGGGGTACCCCCTGGGTCGTGACAACTATAATTTAGGCATGAATAATGACATAATTCAATAAACTAAATCAATATAGACTTAATCTCTTCACATGCTTCCATAATCAATTAATCCCAAATCACAATTCATAATTTAGTATTTTGGGGAATCATGGGTTCATGGGGGAATTTCATCATAAATCAACATTAATTCCTCAATTCAATCATAATTCATCATAAATCAACCTTCGAAAACGTTTTGCAATTGAACCCATGACTTAGATTAAAACCCTAAATTTTGGGGGAATTTTGAAGCTTTGAAATCATGTTTTGAAGGGACTCTTTGGGTGGAATCTACCCAAAGATGAAAAATAGTTTGAGTGAAGAAACTCCACCAAATTGAGTGAGAAATATGAACTCTTGAACTCCAAACCTTGACTTCTTCTTCTCCAATGGTGGTTTGTAGAGAGAGAATTATTTGGAGAGGAGGTAGTTTCTATTTTTGAGTTTTGGGAATAATGAGTTGTAAAAGAGTGTTTAATAGCGTACAGTCTTAAATAACTCTAATTAATCAAAATAAACCAACCCCTAACTAATCTAACCACCCTAGGAATTTACCACATTGCCCCTAACTTGGCCGAACCTATGCAGAACTCAGGGGTGACCTACGCCCACAAACCCATGGACCGTAGGTGGGCTGACACCCCGTCCTGCAGGTACATTGTTTGGGTAAGAAACCCCTCATCTAGGGCCTTGACCTACGGACCTCCCCCACGAGGTGTGAATGGACCTACGGGGCGTATGTCCCATACGTAGGTTCTAAGGTTTTTGACAGCTTTTTGGTTGTTGGGCTGCTTTAGAGTTTAGACTTTAGGGTCCTCCTCAAGGACCCTTGGTTGGTCTTTGGGGAGTCGTACCTTGACTTTTAACCCCTAAACCCCTCAACCTAAGCTTGGGAACTCATTTTACAACATAAAACCCCATAACAAACTCAACAATACACTCGTAAGGCTCTAGTTTCACCTACTAGTTTTCCGAGTCATTACACTTGCCTTGGCCCTTGCCCTATTCTTTTGGCTCTTGACCCTTGTCTTTTCTTGTCACTCTCTTACATAGCCCTAGTTGGCCTACTAAACCACGGGGTGTTACAATATCTTCCCTTTGGGGACATTTGTCCTCAAATGACATGTTAGGCACCTCTTAAAGATAACGACTCTACACTAGCAGCCTGTCATGCATGCAGCACATCTAAATGCACACAACCAAGGAGGAAAACATTAACTCCAACCTAAACATACTCAATGCAACACAAGGAAGTAAGAACTTCATCTAACCACCCATTATGCATGAAATCTAATAGCTAATCATGTCTAAGGAAGAACTACCATCTCCGAGATAAAACATGCTCAACACAAACTCATGGAGCTTATATGTAATTCTCTCTCAAAAAGAATTCATTCAAGGAAGAATCTCTCAAATCCGAGCTAAGGCATGTTCATCAATTCATCTCATGAAGTCTATAGGAAACTCATACTCAATGCACTACAACATGAGGAAATCAGTCATGTAAACTCAGTTTTATTCAAGACACAAGCTTTCATGAAAATGCATCACATAAGGAAATCATGGAAACATCTAAACACACATGACTTCAAACAAGGGGCTAACCATAAGGATCTCTTCGTTGGTTCTCCTTTTCTTGACTTGCCGATCTAACATTATAACATGAACTCCCTCATAGGAACAACTTTCATCCACTCCCAAACCTTCTAAGGGAACTAGGGATGCTGGACCTCTAACACCCTCTTCTTAACTTAGAGACAGGGAAAGCCGAATACACCAATGCCAACTCACTTGGCAAAGCTAACCGATAAGCACCCTAACAACATGAATCAAGATCTCACATGGGCCTACAAAACAGGGGCTAATCTTTCCATTTCTACTAAACTCACTACGCCGTTCATGGGTGGGATATTTCAAGTAAGACCGATTCATTAATATTATGAACACACAATGACTTTTCTATCTAGGCACACCATCTCTCCCTTGAGAGGGAGCCTCAATGGAATTTCTAAGCATTGTCTCTTTCAATTCTACTAAGGTTGGATCAAGACATTGCTTAATTGTTACATCTAACACAAAAGATGATCTGGAACCATCTTAAACCATTACACTACCCTTGGTAGAGTCTACTACCCAAACAACATTTCCACAATCATAATAACCATACCGGGTTCTAAAAGTTGTCTTCAGGACACCACCATTTTTCACCCTCATTTGGTGCTATTCAGACCTAAGGTCAAATCTTAGAAAGGTAACTAACTCTTTGAAGTTTGTCAACACTTGAACCCCTTTCCCTCAGCTTCACTAGGTGGTACATACAACCCTCAAAGTCAACTTTAAGATAAAACATAATCCAAACTTTTGGCATAGAGTTTCCCCCCTTCCACTCTTGGATAAGCTCATTCGGGAACTAACAATTGACTATACGGGTTGTACAATAACATAGGATAATAATAGGAGTGGAACAAAACCATTATATAGATAACATCAAAATTTTGCAAATCACAAACATCAATTAAGAAGCTATCAATATACAGGGATCCACATCGGGAGCACACCCTTCTTCAAATCTAGCTTAAGTGAATAAAACTGATTTCTCTTAGAAGCATCATCTCTTCCTTTAGCCTTTTTCTTAGGATAATTCCTACTTTTGTGACCACTTTTACCACAACTAAAACAACCCTCTACGCAGGGGCGGAGCCACGTAGGCTCCAGGGTGTCCAATTGGACACCCTTCGTCGAAAAATTATACTATATATACACGTAAAGTTTTGACTTTATATTGGTATATATAGAATTTGGACCCCTTGAAATAACAAAGTAATGCGCAGTGGAGTTTGCAATAGCCGACGCAATCTTACTCTTTGGCCCAGTTTGATCCCCCGCAGGGATGTTTTCTTTATCTGTAATTATTTTGACTTCTTGAATTTAATTAAGTAAATAAACATGCGTAATATTAACATAAATGTTTAGTAGCTTGGTGGTTAATAGTGTCATGAATGGCTCTAGGGACCCAAGTTCGAATCACTCCTCCACTGACTATTTTTTGCTATTAAAATTGAATTATTTCCTTAAATTTTAATATCGTTTCCTTGTGGAATAAGATTTCCTTAAATCTAATACTTTTTCCTTGTGGATTTCTTTCAATTAAAATTGAATTATTTCCTTTAATTTTAATAACTTTTCCTTGTGGAATAATATTTCCTTAAATTTTAATACTTTTTCCATATGGAATAAGGTTTTCTTTCTACATAAATAGGAGACTCATTTAAACAAATTATATCACAATATTCTTAAGAATAGATTCTCAATAATTCTCTCCCTATTTTTTCTTCTGGTTCTCTTATTTTACAATAAAAATAACCAACTTAATATTTTAGTTTCAAGTTTCAATGGACATGAGGAATTATTATAATAGAGTACCAAAAAAAAGTTCGACTTCTCTAAGTCAACCAATAAAGAAACAATGGTAGATTAATTAGAGATGTTGTCACATTCTTCTCAAAAACAAAGCATTGATTTAAATACTCTAGAAGTTGATCCAGCAAAAAGAACTTCAATTTTAAATCATGATCCAAATCTTCGTGATGAAATAAGAAGGGAATATCTTTAACTTGGTCCTTGTCGACCAAATATTACAGAATACCCCCAATCATATATTGCTAAAGCAATGTGTCGTTTCAACTATGATTGGTATAAAGTGTATGATTGGTTAGAGTATAGTGATAGTGCAGATGTAGCATATTGTTTACCTTGTTATTTATTTAAAGGCAATAATATTCATCAAGGTGGAGGTGAAGTATTTTCAACAAAAGGATTTAACAATTGGCACAAAAAAAGTAAGCTTGACGAACATATTGGTGGACCGATTAGCGTTCATAATCAAGCAAAGAGAAAATGTGATGATTTAATGCAACAATGACAGTCAATTCGTACTGCATTAGATAGGCAATTTGATCAAATTAAGCTTGAATATTGGACTCGCTTAACTGCTTCAATTGATGTGATAAGACTTCTCTTGAATCAAGGTTGCCACTCCGCGGTCATGATGAAAGTGAATCACCATTGAACAAAGGTAATTTTGTTAAAGTTCTTTCCTGGTACAGAGATAGGTGTGAAAACATCAAACCTTTTGTGTTAGAAAATGCTCCAAGAAATAATAAATTGACTTCTAGAGATATTCAAAAAGAACTTGTGAATGCATGTAAGATAGAAACATTGAAGTCTATAATGGAGGATCTAAATGGTGATTATTTTGCTCTATTAGTTGATGAATATTTTGATTTTTCACGTAAGGACCAAATGGCTATTGTTTTACGATATGTTGATAAAAAAGGATTTGTAGTGCAAGCATTTACTGGACTTGTTCATGTTAAAGATACTAGTGCTTTATCTCTAAAGAAAACAATTGTTAATGTGCTTGCTCAACATTCATTAAGTTTATCTTATGTACGCGGACAATGTTATGATGGAACTAGCAATATGCAAGGTGGTATCAATGGTATTAAAATGTTGATTAAGAAATAAAATAAATCGGCTCCTTTTATTCGTTGTTTTGCTCATCAGCTTCAACTAACTCTTGTCGCAGTTTCAAAAAAATGCGTTCAAGTGGGAGAAGTTGTGTTATTGGTTTCAAATATTTTGAATGTGTTGGGAGATTCTTTTAAACGAATGGATGAATTACGACAATCTCAAAAAGATAATCTTCAAAAGGCATTAGATATGGATGAAATAAAAATAGGTAGAGGCTTGAATCAAGAACTTGGTCTTATTAGAGCCGATGATACTCGTATCTCACTACAAAGCATTTCAAAACTTTATACTTTTGTTTGACTCTATTATTGATGTACTTGATATACTTGTTGAAGATGCAAATACTTTAGGTGAAAGAGCTTAAGCATCAGGATATCTTAGAAGTTTTCAAATTTATGAGGTTGCTTTCATGTTACATTTGATGAAAGATATTTTGGGAATCACTTATGATCTTAATATAACAGTACACAAAAAGGAACAAGATATTGCAAACGCCATGACACTTGTTGAAGTAGCCAAAAAAAGGCTTCAAAAAGTAAGAGATGATGGATTAGGGCCACTTATCAATAAAATATCTATGTTTTATATCAAACATGACATCTTGATACCCAATTTTGATGAGCCCTATGCTAACTCTGGAAGATCACGACGTAAAATTGTTGATCATACTATTTTACATAATTTTCGTGTGGACGTATTTTATAAGATTATTGATTGGCAACTTGAAGAACTTAATGATCGTTTCAATGAGGTGACAAGTGATTTGTTTCATGGATTAGCTTGCTTGAATCCAGTCAATTCATTTTCTAGTTCATCGGAAAAAGGCAAAATGGTCTGGTAGACCTTTGTACTTGTACCCGTTTGTATTGTGAATCCTTCTACTTACCCCTTTGTCATCTGAACCAACAAACTCATTTAAACTCAACCTGTTGAACCCTTTCTACTCATCGTGACTCTCAATCGTGCTGATGTCACATTTCATGTTAGATAAATTTTGCTACATCATTTTTTATTTTTATAATAATTTCTTTTTGGACAAAAAATCATAAAATTTTTATGCAAATTTTACAAAATGAAAATTTTAATCTATTCTTTTTAATTAAAATTTTGGGTCTCCCTACATCATCTACCGTTTTCACCGTGAAATGGCCCAATCGCCGAAGAAAGTTGCTGCGGCCACCACTCCTCTTTCCAGCAAGACCACAAATACTCTCTCCCTCATCTGTCTCCATCTTCTTTGCACACTTTCACCATTTTTCTTACCTCCTTCTCCAACCTTGACAGATCCAAAAATCATAAGCCGTCGCACCAACTCCTTGCCTCTCACTAGCCTCGTTTCCCTCTTCATTGTCTTCTTTTTTTCGTACCATCGACGACTCCTGCGAACCACTAGGGACCCCCTATGCTCTCTATCCTCTCCGGCTTACCAGAAGGCTAGAAAATTCCTCACGGCCTCCGGTGTACCAACATGCTCTTTGCCGCCCCTGGTGTACCAGACCACCTAAAGAAGATGAAAGAAAGAAAAAAAGAGGGTTGGATAAAAATGGAGATGGCTGAAAAAGGTAGGTCGTTGGGTGAAGAAGAATTCTCTTTTCTTTTTCAAGTTTATTATTTTACTCTTCTAATTTAAATATTTTTAAAATTTTAATATGATGTTCACTTTCCTTAATAGGCGTGTGGTCTCACTCTCTTGCCAACTCAACCATATTAGTTCCGCATAAGCAAAGTCAATGGTCAGAGGGGTTTAATATATTGTGTGTCTTTAAGTGTAAGGGTTCAGATGACAAAGGGGTAAGTAGAAGTGTTTACAATACAAACGGGTACAAGTACAGAGGTCCACCAGACCATTTTACCTCGGAAAAATAATAAGAATGGATGAATTTTTGCCTAATGACTTTGATCAATTTGGTATGGGCGTCCTTCAGAATCAGCTTGCCAATTACATTATCGATGTACGCGATACTGATAAAAGATTCTCTGATTTAGGTGGACTTGATGAACTTTCAAGAAAATTGGTAGAGAAAGAAAAACTTAACTTATCCACTTATATTTCGCTTAGTGAAATTTGCTTTGCTTTTGCCAGTTGCTATTGCAACGTTGAAAGAGCTTTCTCGGCAATGAAGTATATTAAAAATGACTTATGAAATCGAATGGATGACGAGTTTTTAGATGGTTGTATAGTGCCTTATGTAGAAAAGAAAGTATTTCGTACTATTTCTAATAAGTCTATTATAAAAACTTTTCACGATATGAAACCTTGTCGAGTACAATTGTAATAATATATTTAAATTATGTTTTCAATAGTAGTTTATTTTCTTTATGTTAGTTTTGAATTATACACTTGTAATTCTATTAAAAATATTCTTATATTTAATTAAATATTGCTTAACTTGATTATTTGTTTTGGTAATTTAAGTCATCGTTTTTTTTAAAAAATAATTACTATTAAAAGTTTGGACACCCTTCATGAAATTCCTTGCTATGCCACTGTCGGCCACTAGAGATGGAACATATTTCGACAATTGAATGAACTTTAGAGCATACTCCTTCACGATCATACTTCTTTGACAAAGGTTAAGGAACTCATGCACCCTTGCTTCCCTCATCTCTAAGGGATAGAACCTATCAAAAAAAGCCGACTTAAACACTTCCCACGCTACGATACACGCTCCTACCGACCTAGCTTCTTTCCATTGATTGTATCACAGTTGACCAACACCTTTCAATTGATAAGCGACCAATTCCACCTTCTCTATCGGAGTCACTCCTATAATAGCAAGTACCTTATATACCTCATCTATTAACACTTGAGGATCTTCCTCAACTTTTGAACAACAAAATGTGGAGGGTTCATCCTAGTAAAGTCCCTCACTCTTGAAGTCGACGTATTCTCATTAAGGTTCATGCAGGCTACCACCTCTCTATTAACTTGTGCCTCCATGGATTGAGCTAACATTTGTTATAGCCGACCGAACCTCCACATTATTCACATTCTCTTCCATAGGGTCAACTAGAGTTTCTGGTGCTTGTGGAGCTTGTGGAGGAGCTTTTTGATCCATATTGTCTTCCTCATTCCTTTTACCATTAGCCCTTGTTGTAGCCATATCCTGAAGACCATCGGGTAAGGATTAGGTGAAAGGCCCTATAGCACGACTTAGAGTAATGAAGAAGTGAAGTTTCCTAATCATCTAATAGCTTCTCATTCATAAATGTGGCGCGCTTCACACTTATGAAAAAGACTCTACTAGACGTGGTTTTGAGATATCCTAGAATCATTCTAAATATTTTACTCTGATTACGAAGTTTGTCACGACCCAGGGTTACCCCCTAGATGTAACAAGGCGTACAAGACCCCGAGAGGCCTCATACAAGCCACTTAGCATATCATAACACAAATTAATTGGAATGATGCGAAAATTTAAAATATTTTTCCATATAATCAATTCTTTTATAAAATGAGCGGAAGTTTATAACACTTTTGTCTCAAACCATCTAATACATGATAATCTTTGGGACGCAGCCCATACAATAGTTTTAAACATAAAAGAAATTCATAAGAAAATGGAGAATATCTCCTTAAACACTATGAGGACTCACCAAATCTTCAACTCCTTGCTTCTACGAAGATCCTAGCCAAGGGAATGGAAGTCAATATCGCTGGACCCTATATTTGATATGAATGTAGGCAAGAGTGTGCGTTAGTAAAAAATATACTAAATATGATAACTAGCATAAATCATCAATATAGACATAACATATGCATTAGTCAACATAAGACATAATTCATAAATATAAGAGGTAAATCATATTCATGAGCATAGTGATCATCATAACACAAGAAGAACACTTCATGAGTAACCTCAAAGCATACTTAATCAAGGCATAGATAAGACCCCATAAATCTCACTCATGCTAAGTAAACCACCTTGGGCCATCATTTATGTTCATCACCTTCTATTCTCATTCTTAGCTTATTTCTCATGAAAAAGGGTGAATCACCTTTAGTCATACATATTAGGAAAGGAAACTCTAGCTACAATCAAAGTTAATCATACAACATACAAGCAAATATCATATTAAAACATACTTACGATACTTCCTTAAAGTAACCTTGTTCCATCATAAACATACTTCTTTGATTAGGGACTAGTCCCTCTTTAGCTCTTGCTAAAATTCATGGAAAGTACTTCTTTACTTAGTACAATACAAGTCATCACACATGAATGGGTACGACTTACCAATTCAAGGCTACCAACGAAAAGCACCTCATTATGATAGACCAAGCTTTTATGGAAGGCATACTTTCATGCTAGTCCAAGCTAACCTTAGGAAGGGTACGATTTCTCAATCCAAGGCTAGCATGATATCTTCTACTCAAGCTACTATTAAATGGTTTTTTCTTACCAAGTCAAGCTATTCACGAAGGGATTTTATCTCACAAATTCAAGGTATATCAAATAAGATAGCTCTGTAAATCATGCGTGAGAAAACCTTTCACCGTCCATGATTACTTGCTTTTAGATTCAATTATGTGAGAAAGTCTTTCAACCTAGAATCTTCATTATGTGAGAAAACGTTTCACATCATGTTCATGCATAGGTGTGTCTATGAGAATGTCCTTTCAACAACACAACAACAACATCATAATCATAGACTCTTTACTCTCAAAGTGTTCTTAAAGCATTTACATAAATTTCATAAAACATGCATAATCTCATACTTTACCCCCTTGAGGTTCTAAACTTTCATTCAATCATCAGATGTATAATTCTAGCATTAGACATGGATTTCATTATAACTCATGTGATTCTATCACTTCATACATCCATAAGGTAGATTATTAGGGTAAAGTCCTTCGACAACAATTCTATCTAATAGTCTACCATTATCATATAAGCTTCACTCTCAAATCCTTAACATTGATAATTTGTCACATTAGCTTTCCTCTGAAAGTCCTAGTATCAAAATCCATAACAAGAAGCTTTAATATCAATGTAATACTTCTTACCATCATCATATATGCCTAGATCTCATAATATTTTAATCACATGCTTCATTCTTTAGCAATTCTAATCATATATCATCATATAAGCATAAACTCATGCATTACTAATAATGATTAAACATGTATACTTTAGCTTCATTCAATTCATATATATATGCCCTAATGTTAAGCAATCTACAATACATATCATCAATCCTAAGAGATTATCTCTAAATCCTTAATTTCCCCCTTCAAGGCCCAATACCCACTTCCTTCAATTTCATCTTTCTAGACATGGGTTAGGCATGTACACATGTAATTTCATCTTAAAAACATGATTTACGACTAATTCAATAATAAACAATCATTATCCACTCAATTGGATCAACATACATCAATACACACAATATTAGAAGGAACCCTAACTAGAATTGGGGATTTCATATTCACAATTAGGGAGAAGTGGGGAACTCCATGGTTGAAAGAAGTCCATGGATGAAAAGCTATCATACCTTAATCACAATGCCCTCAAAATATTTGAGATTAGGTGCCATGACCTTGACCTAGCTTCAAACTTTATCTTCTTCTTCAAGTTCTAGAGAGAGAAATATTTGAGAGGATGAACTGATAGCATCCAAGGAAGCTCTACTCCATTGAAGGACAAGGATGAAGCTTTAGAAACTCCAAGGAGGCCCATAACAAGATCTCAAACCAAGGAGTTCAATGATAAGCTCAATGGGCTTCAATCGCTTATCCAAAGGTGTCTTATTGGGGAAGAAGAGCTCAAGCCCAAGGGAGAGGAATTGTCCAAATGCTACAATTATTTGGTGGCCCAAATTCAAGTCCAAGATGAGGAA